CTCAGCACATCCAAGCTCAGCACCCCCAGGCTCAGCACCCCCAAGCTCCGCACCCTCAAACTCAGCAACTCGAGGCTCAGCACCCCCAGACTCCACACACTCAGGCTCAGCACCCCCAGGCTCCGCACGCTCAGGCTCAGCACCCCCATGCTCCGCACCCTCAGACACAGCAACCCCAGGCTCAGCACCCCCAGGCTCCGCACGCTCAGGCTCAGCACCCCCAGAAGCACCACCCCCAGTAGCAGCAGCAGAGTCAACTGCTACCTTGACAGGCTCGACAGCGTCTACCTGGGACACACTTGAGGGAGCAGGACACAGAGGGGGGAGGGGATCTACCGGAGGAGGACCTGGTGCAAGGAAGAGCGGCGGGGGGTGGAGAGAGGCAGTGCGGTAGGGGAAGAGACGGTAAAAGGGAACCGAATCGTCAAACGTGACGTCCTGAGAGGGCAGGACACGACGCGAGGTGGGGTGGTAAAAGTGCCAGCCAGGCGTGTCAGGGACAAAGCCAAGGAAGACGCAAGGAATAGCACGGGCGGAGAGCTTGTCCGCGGTAGTATCGCGGACAAAGGCACGAGAACCCCAGACCCGAAACACTGACGCATCGCCAACCTCCCCCGTCCAACGCAGAGTGGGCGAGGTCTCCGGCAAGGAGACACAGGGCCAGAGGTTGAGCTGATGCGCAACGTATGGGACCGCAAACGGCCACAGAAAATGGGGGGCCGCCGCATGGACCATAGAGGTACGAGCGACCTCCATGACTAATCCAATGCGGCGCTCAGCCATCCCATTCTACTGAAGTGAGGCCGGGAGCGTGAACGTCTGGCGAATGCCCTTCCCACGACAAAAGTCCCGCAGGAAGTCAGAGGCAATCTCACCACCTCTGTCAGAGTGCAGACGCAGGAAGTCCGTCCCGAACTGCTCGCGGAGCTGGAGACGGGAAGCGCGGATCCAAGGGATCAAAACATCAGGGACCTCACCCTAGGTGCGCAAGGGGAAGACCATGGTGTAACGTGTGTAGTCATCAACAACCAGCAAAAAGTACCGCTCGCGGTCTTGTCCACGGACGCAAGCTGGGCCCCACACGTCCATGTGTAGGATCTGCAGGGGAGCAGTCGCCGGGGGAAACGAGGAGGAGTGAGGAGCGGCGCGCTGCCGCCCCTCGACACAAGGAAGATAGGGAGGAGCAGGCGAGAGAGGGAGGGGAGGGAGAACCCTGGGAAGACCAGAGACAAGGATACGGCGGTGCATGCCACGAAGGCGCTGCACCGAGGAATGACCAAGACGGTGGTGCCAGAGGACGGTCTAGTGCGACAAAGCGCGACAAGAGCAGGGGGCCGCTAGCTGACCTGGCGCAAACACAGATGCAGACGCAGCTACCTGAGGGGACACAGTAGTCACTGTGTACAGACTCGAGCCAGGTGCTCGGGTGAACATGGCCAGGTGCCGACCAGTCCGGGAGCACGTACAGTAGGTCACACGCTGACCTCCGGGAGTGAACTGGTCAACCCACTCATCCTCAAGGGCAGCTCCACTCACCAAGTTCGTAGAGAACGAGGGGAGGTGGAGACCCGACAGTGAGCCAGACGGGACAGCAGGACACGGCAGGACCGTGGAGGAGTGCGCAAGGACGGGGCCCCCAGAGGGGTCCGCCAGGGAGACTGCAACTGGCCGACTGAGCGGCGTGAGGGTGGTGCTGTCACGAAAGAAAGAGCGGGAAGCACTTGAGTCAAGTGTGAAGGTGTGCAAGGCCTCAGCAGGCGCAGTACCATTGAGAGCAGACTCACCAGCACCTGGAGCAGCAGACTCACTAGTACCTAGAGCAGCAACCTCACCAGCACCTACAGCACTAGACTCTATACCTGGGTCGGGCGGCACACACAGGTAACAGTCACCCTCAGCACTAATAGTCACAGCATACATGGCAGCAAGGATAGCATCATAATCAAGAGCAAATATATCAACATTCTACTTAAGCAGATCAGCCCAGCTAGGGAGCTCAGCAACGTCAAGAAAGTGTGCGCGCCAGGCGTTAGATAGGCGACCGAATCAGCGCTGCGACATGTCTGACCTCCCGCACGTCTCCCCACGGCGCCCGCTGGTGCGGAAAACGTAAGTGCAGGGACCAGCACCGCCAGACCTCCCACGCCCAGCGTACCACTCACGAAGCTGCTGGGGCGACGGGGTCTCGCGGGAACGCGGCTGCTGCTGGCGCTGGCTACTGCCCAAGCCTCCACGCTGCGCAGCTCCACCCCGACCAGCACCACCGCCGCCGCCACCTCCACCGCCGCCGCTGCTGTCTCCACCGCCGCTCCCACTGCTTCCACCACCACTGTCGCTACCTCCACCACCTCCACCGCCGCCACCGACGCCCCCACTCCCGCCACCACCCTTGCCTCCACCCCCACCCCCTCCGCCTCCTCCACCGCCACGACCGCCGCCCCCGCCGTCCCCTCCACCACCCTTGCCCCCCTTGCCCTTGCTGCTGTGGCGCCTCCCACTAGGAGCAGACGCAACCCCGACCTCCTCGGTGCCAAGAAGGTTGACAGCAGCAGCAGAAGCAATAGAGGGCAGAAGGGGAACGGGGGAACACCCCTCAAAGAACGGGGCGCGAGGGTCGCCGCGAGAAGCTCCTACAGCAACTATACTCTTCTCAGCTGTAGTGAGGCGCTCCTCTAGCAGGTCGACGGTGAGCTCGGTGGGGCATAGGAGAGAAAGTGGTCCCTGACTGAGGAAAGGGAGTAAGGGAGACAGGTGACTAGGTAGAAGAGGGTGATGTACATGGGGGGGGGGGTCTTGGTGCAGAACTTGGAGGGGAGCGCAGCGCGGTAGTGGGCGTCACTAGTGCGGAGGTGAGTAATGAGGTCAGCGACTGTGGCAAAGGCGGCCAGGTCAGGGAACAGGTACGGTAGCATGAGGCGGCTGAGGGTAGCAGTGGCAGGGGAGGAGTAGCGCGCTACGATAGTGTCATACAAAGACTTAGTAGTCTTGTACTGGCCAAAGTGGCGCACTCAGCAAAAGGCAGGTGACTACAAACAGCAAGGTGAGCAACAGCGTCACGAGTAGTCCACTGCGAGCGAACTGTGTTGTCAGCATCGGCAGCAGGTGCAGCAGAGGCGCCAGACGTGAGATAAAAAAGCGAGACTCGCACTGAAGAAACAGCTACAGATCATCTACCCAGACATTGAAGTCAACTGCACGTCCCTTAGCATTGAACGTAAGAACCGTAGGGCTAGCCATGGCGGCAGTAGCAGCAGTGGCAGTAGTAGCAGCAAAAACAGCAGTAGCACCAGGAGCAGAGCGGCGGCAGGGCAGGGCCGCGACGGGTGCTGCAGGCGCGACGATGACTGCAGGGCAAGATCGCTATGGCGGGTCCGCGACGGCGGCAGCAGGCGCGACGGCGGAGACGGCAGGGCCGCGACGGCGGCTGCAGGTCAGGGGCCGCGACATGGGGCGGCAGGGCAGGGCCGCAACGGGCGGCTGAGGCAGGCCGCGACGTGGGGCGGCAGGGCAGGGCCGCGATAGCGGGTAGGGTAGGGCCGCGACGGGCAGCAGGGCAGGGCAGGCGCGCGACGGCAGCTGCAGGGAGGGCAGGCACGCGACGACGCGTAGGGCAGGGCCGCGACGGGCGGCTAGGTCAGGGCACGCGACGGCGCAGGTGAGACAGGCGCGACAGCGCGCTTCGGACAGGGTAGGAAATTTCGTGGTGGGCCCTAAAAATATCGTTCCCACTAGGGAACCTGTTAAGAAACCATGTGAAAATAGAAACGAGGAATGATAGAATTAGCAAGCAGGTGGGTACAAGTAAGAAAACCTTGAAGTGTTGTACCCTATATTGACTACCCCACTACAGCCTACACATACTATGTCATATAAGTTTGACACAGATGGTCAACAGTCGCGACAGTTGACTCTTGCGACTGTTGACCTTACTGCCCTTGATACGGGCTAATCTGATACTACTGCTAGCGCTGCTTCGATAATGACGGGTGCGGTACAGTTGCACCTAGGTGAATGCCAAACTAAATTCCCTTCATACTCCAAAAGTGGGACTAGAAAGTAGAATGCAAGAAAGCTAGACTGGATTGGATGGAGATATGGTTGGGATTGGGTTGGGGGACTGTTTAGGGTAGAATACCCTTGAACAGTAAAGTACCCCGTAACATTCATTGTATCTACAATCTACCCTTTAATCACATTCTCAGGGTACATTCCGCTCTGGACATGTCCCAATCGTACATGTCCCAATCGATTCCACCGCACTGCATCTTATTACACCGAATTACACCCTAGTTTCAAACATTGTCAAAATTTCGTGTCTCTGGTTTAGTTCGGTTCGGAGCGGTGGAATCAATTGGGACATGTACGATTGGGACATGTCCAGAGCGGAATATACCCTCATTATTTATTGATTGACTTTGCGCACTGCCGTGAGATGAGAGCCCAACTTCCCTCGACAGACCATCAATACTGGACCAGACTGACCCAAGGTACGACCTAGTCAGCTGAGAACATAGTCGCTAAAACAGACCTTGTGTCTTGCCCACGCACGACCATTTACACTTGCTCGACCCTCCCACCCATAGCGCTAGCTAAAACCTAAGCCAGTGTGGTTGTAGATTCTGTCGGGCGGTTATTGAGCATCCTGTGCGCGCTAGGTGGACAGGTTGTAGTAGCGGAAACTGCGTAACGGGTAACGCGAGAAAGCACCGAGGAGCCGCGAGGCACGGACGTGGTTGATTCGCGATTTCGCGCGAGAGGCGGTCCGGTGTGAGCCGCATTCGACGGGCGTGGCCTGGACTGGAGGCTGCAGCGATTACGCGAGAGGCGCGGACCCGAAAGAGCAGCGATAACGCAGAGGTGCGTGGGGGATGCGAGCGAGAAAGCGCGAGAGGGTGAGCAGCGATATGCGAGGGGGAGGTAGCGAGAAGGAGCGGGGGAAACACCAGCGAGAAGGCCGGCGGCGCGGAATGAGCAGCGAGCATGCAGGGCGGAAATTGCAGATGGGGCACGGGGGGGCAGGCGGGATTAGCAGCGAGAAGGGTTACGGGAATACGCAGCGAGACGGTGGGGGGGAGAGGGGGGGGAATACGCAGCGAGACGGTGGGGGGGAGAGGGGGGGGATACGCAGCGAGACGGTGGGGGGGAGAGGGGGGGGAAATACGCAGCGAGACGGTGGGGGGGAGAGGGGGGGGAATACGCAGCGAGACGGTGGGGGGGAGAGGGGGGGGAATACGCAGCGAGACGGTGGGGGGGAGAGGGGGGGGAATACGCAGCGAGACGGTGGGGGGGAGAGGGGGGGGAATACGCAGCGAGACGGTGGGGGGGAGAGGGGGGGGAATACGCAGCGAGACGGTGGGGGGGAGAGGGGGGAATTAGCAGCGAGACGAGGGGGGGGGGGAGGGAATAAGCAGCGAGGGAGGGAGGGGGGGGGGGTGAAGGAAGCAGCGAGAGGGGGGAGGGGAGGGAATAAGCCTCCGGTGTTGGGTCTCTCTACCCCGCCACTTCGCAACTCCGGCCCCCGCACAGTGCCACTTCCTATTCATCTCTCCCGCGCCCTCCCTCCCCCCTTGAACACATCTGTGCTCATCCTCGGAGAGCACCTTCTATCCCCTCCTTCCCCCCCTCTCAAAACGTACCCCTTTCACATGTCTCCCTTGCACCTCTGTGTACTTCCGTCTCTGCCTCACGCCCTTCTTCCCCCTCCCCACTCTTTTCCTCCCCTCTCCCTTCCATCTCTCCCTCGCTCCTTAACTCTCGTCTCTTCCCTTTTCACTCTATGCCTTACCCATTTCCCTACCTTTTCTCCTGCATTACTCTGAACTGTACACTGTCCCCTCTCTGCCTTACTCCCTTCTTTAGCCTTTCCCATCTCTCAATTACTCCTAACTCTACCCTTTCCGTGTCTCTGCCTCACTCACTCTCCCGTGTTTTCCGCTGTCCCATATGACCCCCTCTCCCGTGGGCAGCATGGGGGGTCAATGAGGAGCGCCAGGCCAGGCATGCACCACGCGCACGGGTCGCCGTGGGTCGCCATCTCTGCTAAGCGCCCGGGGGGGCTCTGGCGCCCCGCCAACGCCGCCATGCCGCCCGCCAAGGCGGCCAGCCCCGGCGCCCGGCCGCTGGCAGTGTCGCGTGCGCGGTGGCGGTGGGCGGGCGAGCGGTGGGCGTGCGGCGCCATGGCGGCGGCGCAGATGGCCGTCGCTCTGCTGCTGCTGGCCGTCGCCGCCACCTCGCTGCTGCTGCTCGGCTGCATCCGCCTGCCCAACCGCCAGGTCCCTCTCGTGTTCCCCTCCCCCCTCCCTCCCACATTTCCCCCGCTCCTCCCAGTGAGCATTCCGCAAGTTGGTCATCTCTCCCCTCCTTGTTACCCTCCTGCCTCCTGGAAGGCCCCCCCTTCCCTCCCCTCCCCACCCCCTCTGCATTGCATTTACCCCACCGCTCCTGCCTTCTCCCCGCCCTGACTCTCGCATTTCCCCTCAATTTCCCTCTTCTCACGTTCCACTTCCGCATTCACAAGCTGCACCCTGCCGCTCCCAACCGCACCCCACGGGCAGGCGGGGTGGAGTGTGGAGCTGCCGCACGAGGCGCTCGAGCCCACTGCTAACTGCTCCTCCGCCAACCCCACCGTCGTTGTCAAGGCAAGCCCCCGCGCCCATCTGCCTCGTGCCCCATCTGCCTCGTGCCCCGTCTGCCTCGTGCCCTCCCCACTCGCATTCGCCCTCACAATTTCCACCCTCTTGTTCTCTTGCTTCCCCCGTGTCCCACCTTACCCCCCTCCACTCCCACCCCCTCCCAAACGAGTCTATGGTACTCACACCGTCCATTCCACCTGCCACCCGTCTTTCTCCCTTGCTCCATTCCATGGACGCCCTCTTGCCCTCTTGCCCTCTTGCTCCCCCCATTTCTCCCCCAGACCGCCCCTCCCTCTCGCCCCATCTTTCCTCCCCTTGCCTTTTTTATCCCAACTTTCTCTTTCTCCCCACTTCCCCCGTTCAGACGAGCCAATGTTATTCAAGCCGCCTGTTCCACTTGCCACCAGTGTTCCGTCTCTTGCACCATGGACGCCTCAACCTCTCCCCCCACCGTTTTCCCCTCTCTCCCCCCTTTCCCATTCAGACGAACCTATGGTACTTGGAACGTCCATTTGACCTGCGACCTGCCCCCCGTCTTCTCCCTCTGCACCATGGACGCCTGCTTCAGCTTCTTCTCCCCCACATTCCTTCTCTCCCCCCTCTTGCAGACCAACCTATGGTACTCGGAGCGGCCGTTCCACCTACCGCCCGTGTTCCCCCTGTGCACCATGGACGCCTGCTTTAATTTCTCGCGCTGCCCCTCACCGCCCGCCCGCGAGCCCCTCGTGTACTCCTACTGGCCCGGGCCCAAGTACTTTGCCCGATTCAACACCACCAGGTGCTCATGTCATGCCGCCACTTGTTGATGAGATTGTGTTATGTGCTCATTGGATCCTTCCAGTCACTGTTTCTGTCCATCACTATTTCTGTCCATCATCCCGCGCTCAATCCCTTACTCCCATCTTCCTTCTTTACTATCCTCACCACCACCACCACCATCCCACACCCCCACCCACCACCACACCTGGTGGGGCGCGGGTGGGCGGGCAGCAGGTGGCACACGGACGACCCCAGCAAGGCGTGCTTCTTCTTTGTCTTCATGTCCGCGGGGCACCCCCGCCACTTCAAAGACCTGCCCTTCTGGGGGGAGGACGGCCATAACCATGTGCTTATAAGGTGACCTGCTTATAGGATAACATGTGCTTATCAGGTGAGGTGACACGTGCTCATCAGGTGAGGTGACAATGTGCTTATCAGGTGGCATGTTCTTATAAGGTGATATGTGCTCAAGGTGACATGTGGCTATAGGGTGTCATGTCCTTATAAGGTGACTTATGCAGTTGCAGCGATGCTGAATAAAGTGTGAGCCATGTGGAAAGAGTCGGTATATTTTATTTCTCAATGAAGGCGAGTCAAGTATTCTTCATGTCCTTGGATTCCTGCCCTTAAGAGCCAAACGCAACACCATGTGAGGAGGAGGAGCATCTCCATGCACCCTGCGTACCCCTGTCTCACCATGCTTCCATTCACCCCAATACCACCCAGTACGTACGCCTCATGCCTGCCCATCTCCTCCCTCAAACCGCTTCCCCCCACGCCCTCCTTCCTCCCCCTGCACGGCAAGCCAGCTTCGCAGACAACTGGAGTGGGCCACCGGCGTGGAGTGTGGGCAAGGCGGCGCTCATGCTCACAGCCGCGCACCTCACCGTGCACCGCGCAGCCTTCGACGTCTCCCTGCCGCTGCCGCCCACCTGGAAGCGCCACGCGGCGGGGCTGCGGTCGGTGCCAGTGGGTGCGCGGCGGTACCTGCTGACGTTCATGGGCACGCGCTACCTGGGCTCCATGCACGGCAGCTTCCGCAGCTCCCAGGCGTTCAAGGCGCTGCACAATGGCAAGGACATCATCGTTGTCACCCAGTGCGGGTCAGTGCACGCATGGATGGGCGCTGTGGTTCACTCACACACACATGCAGACAAGAGCTCATCACCCAAACTGGTCTCACAATATCTCACCTCGTGCCCGTCGCCAGCCACACAGCTATCCCGCTCCACCTCACCCCACATGCTTCAGCGCTCTCGACTCGTTCCAAAGCTCCTCCCTCCTCTCTCCACGCTCACCCCAGCAGAGGGTCCACGAACCGGCGGGTAATCGAGGAGGACCCGTCACGGCTGCCACCCAAGTGCTTTTTGAGTGACATATAAAACGCCTCAAACGTCTACTCCTCCACTCACCCCCCACCCGTCATTGAATCAGAGGGTCGACGAACCGGAGGATAATCGAGGAGGACCCGTCGCTGCTGCCCGAGTGCACAGCGGACGCAGCGCTATTCCGCTCCTTCTCCTACCCCGCCCTCATGAACTCCTCCTTCGCCCTCGTCCCCGCCGGCCGCCAGGCCTCCACCTACCGCTTCATTGAGGTCCGAGCCTTGGAGGGGGAGAGGGGCGCAGGGGTGTGGGTGGGTGTTTGGGTGCGGGCATGAGCAAAATGTTAAGTCGAACAGGTTTGAGTTTTGAGGCGCGTCAAAAGTGGAGGAGGGGTGGGAGGGGATGGGTGGGTGGGTGGGCGGTGAGGGGTTGAGCTCCACACGCCTCCATGTACTGCTCCATAGGGTATGTCGTGGGGAAGGAGAGGGGGGAGGGCGGGTGGGTGGGCGGGTACCACTCACAGACCTCCACGTACCGCTTCCTGGTTGGTGGGTCCAACGGTCCTCGTACAGCTGGCTTTGTTGCTCGCAGGGGCACTTGTGTTCCATGAAGCAGTGATGTGATGAGGTGTGTCTTTCGGTGAATAAGAGGGCAGGGCAAGCAGCAGTCCATTCACTGGACCTCCCATCCGCCTGCCCCCGCCCGCCTCCTTCCCCCCCACTCCCTTCCCCCCTCCTACTCCCCCTCCCCACTCCCCCGGCCCGGCCCCTGCCCCACGAACCAGGCGCTGACAGCTGGCGCGATACCAGTGGTGGTGGCGGACAACTGGAAGCTGCCGTTTGACGACATCATCCCGTGGCACCGCTGCCTGCTGCTCTTCCCCACCCACCTGCTCTCGCGCATCGAACCCACCCTGCGCGCCATTACCCCGGTACCTCCCCCCCTGCCCTGCAACGCCCCACCCTGCCCTCTTCCTGGTACCCCCTACCTTGCCACCCCACTCGACCTGCACCCTCTCCACGGGATTGACATGGCCTGTGCCGCTACGAGATTTGACCCATGGGGGACAAGCGATGAGCCAACAGCTGTATCAGCCCAGCTTATACTGCATGCCTTGCCCCGCTGTGGTCATACTGCATGCCTTGCCCCGCTGTGCTCATACTGCATGCCTTGCCCCGCTGTGCTCATACTGCATGCCTTGCCCCGCTTTGGCCATACTGCATGCCTTGCCCCGCTGTGGTCATACTGCATGCCTTGCCCTGCTGTGCTCATACTGCATGCCTTGCCCCGCTTTGGCCATACTGGATGCCTTGCCCCGCTGTGCTCATACTGCATGCCTTGCCCCGCTGTGGTCATACTGCATGCTTTGCCCCGCTGTGCTTGGCAGTTTCTTCATGTGTTCCTTGCATGTGCATGTATGGTGTGGTGTGTGCGGGCATCGTGTGATGTGGGAAGCAGTAGTGCGTTTTGTGCCCATGGCATGCCATGCATGATGCATCACACCATGCCATGCATCACACCATGCCATGCATCACAGCATGCCATGCATCACACCATGCCATGCATCACACCATGCCATGCATCACACCATGCCATGCATCACACCATGCCATGCATCACAGCATGCCACGCATCACACCATGCCATGCATCGCAGCATGCCATGCATCACAGCATGCCATGCATCACAGCATGCCATGCATCACACCATGCCATGCATCACACCATGCCATGCATCGCAGCGTGCCATGCCTCACACCAATCTCTCATAGCTCCCGGCCTTCTCATCCCACTCCTGCTCTTAACCCCACATGCAGCAAGCAGCGGAGAAGCGGCGGCAGCGATGTGTGTCGATATTTGAGGAGTATTTAGCGTCAGACGATATCCTCATGCGTTCAGCCATGACTGCCCTCAAATCACATGCCGGGGGGATCTTCCCGCTGTAATCCATTTCATTCCATTTATATTCTTTGTCGTGGTTCTTAAAAGCCTCACAGTGTAAGCAAGCACCCCTTCAAGAGGATGAGGTCACAGGGACCAACAAGGAACCACGGTGGGCTGGGAAGATTAAGGCTTCTTTCCACATCCCCCAACAATGCAAACATACACTCCCACAGGATGAAAATACTTCAGCAGCACTACATCAATTGCACATGCATCATGACGTTTCACTGTACCCGTATTATTCCGGCTGTTGGACCCGGCGGTAAGAAGGTCCCCCGGGACTCTCAAACGGCACTAGGACTCTTATTTTGGCAAGTTCTGTGAGGAGCCCCCCTTTTCCCTTAATTAATGTAAGACCCCCCTTTTCTGCATACAGTAAACGCTATTGCGCGTCAGCTTTTACAAGCACAAATTTGGATTCGGACACGCTGTCTGTGTCAAATCCGAATTCTGACACGTTATTGGTGTCAGATTCCAATTCTGACA